GGATCGTCAGATTTTCTTTGTCTCTCGTGATGTAGAGTTTCTTGAGGCTGAATTCCCATACCAGTCAGACTCGTCTGAGCCAGATTCTTTGCCACCGCCTCTTGTTGTGCCGGTTTCTTCTGTGCCAAATGATGACGAGGATCTTCCGGTTGTCTCTTTACCTCATGTTTCTCCTGATACTGGGTCTTCTGCTACTGATATAGATACTTCTGACGACAGGGGGGGTTCCGTTACCATTACCCCTCCCACTCTTCCAGTCGAGCCCTTAGGTCGTGGTCATCGGACTAAGGTTCCTTCCTCTCGGTTGAAGGATTTTGTGGTTGACACTGTCCGGCCTGCGGTTGTAACCCCCCCTTCTTCTCTCCAGTCGTCTCCATCCACTGGCACGCCTTATCCCATCGCGTATTATGTTTCTTGTGATTCATTCTCTCCAGCTCATCGAGCCTTTTTGGCTGCTGTTGCCTCCACTGCTGAGCCTCGCACTTTTGCTGATGCTGTGACTGATCCTCGATGGCGAGCCGCTATGCAGGATGAGATTCGTGCCTTAGAGAATAATGGCACGTGGGATGTAGTTTCTCTTCCATCTGGAAAGCGTGCGATTGGGTGCAAGTGGGTTTTTAAGATCAAACATAAGTCTGACGGTTCCATTGAGCGCTATAAAGCGCGTTTGGTGATTTTGGGCAATAATCAGGTGGAAGGTCTTGACTATCATGAAACGTTTGCTCCCGTCGCCAAGATGGTTACTGTCAGGTTATTCTTGGCTGTGGCTGCTGCTAGCATTGGGAAGTTCACCAAATGGATGTTCACAATGCTTTTCTTCATGGTGATTTGGCTGAGGAGGTTTACATGAAGTTTCCACCTGGTTTTTGCTCTGGCGTTGAGGGGCAGGTTTGCCGTCTTCGTCGTTCCCTCTATGGCTTGAAGCAGGCTCCCCGCTGTTGGTTTGCCAAGTTGTCTACGGCTTTGAAGTTGTATGGTTTTTGTCAGTCCTATCATGACTACTCTCTTTTTACACTGCATCGTGGTTCTGTCCATCTGCAGGTCCTAGTCTATGTTGATGATCTAATTGTTTCTGGGAATGATACCACATCCATTGCGGCCTTCAAGAGTTACTTGAGTCGTTGTTTTCACATGAAGGATCTTGGGCTGCTTAAGTATTTTCTGGGTATCGAGGTTGCCCGAAATTCTTCTGGCTTCTTTCTCTGTCAGCGGAAGTATGCTCTTGACATCATTGCTGAGGTCGGACTACTAGGGAGCAAGCCAGCTGATTTTCCATTAGAGCAGAATCATCAGCTCCCTCTTGCTAAGGATGATCTATTGTCTGATCCCGAGCGATATCGTCGTTTAGTCGGACGTCTTATCTATCTCGTCGTGACTCGACCTGAGTTATCTTACTCGGTTCATATGCTCTCTCAATTCATGCATCAACCGCGTCAGGCTCACTAGGACTCTGCTCTGCGTGTGGTTCGATATTTGAAAGGCTCTCCTGGCCAGGGGATTCATCTTCGTACTGATTGCGATCTTCAACTCTATGCATGGTGTGATTCTGATTGGGCGTCTTGCCCTCTCACTCGGCGCTCTCTTTCTGGTTGGTTTATTCAGCTGGGTCAGTCTCCTGTTTCTTGGCGAACCAAGAAACAACCTACTGTCTCACGCTCTTCTGCTGAGGCTGAATATCGGGCGATGGCTACTACGTTGTGTGAGTTGAAGTGGTTGCGGGGACTATTATCTACTCTCGGTGTCGCTCACTCTCAACCTATGCGGTTGCACTGTGACAGTCAGTCTGCACTGCATATTGCGGCGAATCCAGTTTTTCATGAGCGAACTAAGCACATTGAGGTGGATTGCCACTTTGTTCGAGATGCTGTTCATCAGGGCCTCATTTCTACTACTCATGTTCCTTCTGGGGAACAGCTCGCTGACATCTTCACCAAGGCGCTTGGGAAGCGCGAATTTGATTTCTTCCTTGGCAAGTTGGGCATTCGGAATCCGCATGCTCCAACTTGAGGGGGGGTATTATTATGTATATTTGTGTAATTACTATATTAGCCTTATGTTCTCTTTAGGTAACTGTAGCCCTAATTTTGTGTATATATATTCATGGTTAATAGAATATTGAATCATCCGATTGAGATGATCAATTCCCAAAATCCGTCTCGTTTGTTTCTTATCACTTACTCCGGCGGTTCATGGCAATCCGCCACGCAACTTTCTACGGTGGAGGCGACGCATCCGGCACTATGGGTACGTATAAAATAAAATGTAATAATCTTTTTTTTAATAAAATGACGTTTGTAAATACTCTATTCCTCGATTTGATATTTTGTTGGTACTTATCTTGACCATGATGTTAGTGAATTTGGGTGCAATTAAGAGATTCAACCCTGTTTAGAGGTTTGACTCGTCAATATACTAATTAAATTATTTGGTACTATTTGATTAGTTTTTTTTGTCCAAAATGTTAATTATGAGTATAATTCACTAGCTAAATCAGATACTACGGCACTATCAAGTATTAAAATCTATATATTAATCATATCGGGTTGTTCATCAATCCCTTATAACTTCACTTCGCTTTGTTCGTTTGTACTTTTCGCAATGACTCAACTTTTGAGACCCTCAATTGTACCTTTTGCATCGACTCAACTTCTGAGACCCTCAATTACATCAACCCTCACCTGTGCTTTTCACTCCCTTAGACCGTCTCCAACTGAGACGCAAAACTCAAATTTTGCAGTAGAATTCTCTCCACCCGAACTGGAAACGGATCTGCAAAATGCGTAAAGGGGCTCTCTCTCCTCTAGAAACGCATATTTGCGTTGTGCTGCAAAATTTGCGTTTGATCTTTTAATTATTACATATAAGTCCTTCTATTCTATATTTATATTCTAAACACCCCTATTCTTTTATATATATATATATATATATATATATATATATATAATTGTATGTATATTGTATTTGTTATTTTTTTTTAATAAAAGAAATATAATATGAAATACAATATTATTTTAGTTAATTTTATATAGTATAATATTTAAATAATAAATATTATATATATCTTATAATATTATATATTTTAATGAATATTTATTTCTCCGGTTTTATATGTATAATTAATTTCAATTACATATAATATTATATATATCTTATAATATTATAATTTACACTAATATAATGAAAAAAAGTAACAGTTTTTAAAATGTGAATATATGCGCTAGACCATATATGGTCTAGAGTGTAAATTTGCACTAATACAATGAAAAAAAGTAACAGTTTTTAAAATGTAAATATATGCGCTAGACCATATATGGTCTAGAGTGTAAATTTGCACTAATACAATGAAAAAAAGAAACAGTTTTTAAAATGTGAATATATGCGCTAGACCATATATGGTCTAGAGTATAAATTTGCACTAAATCATATATTTTCAAAAATAACAGTTTTGATTCAATCGGTACATAGATGTATATGTATCTTCTTCACTTTTGAAATGAAGATGTAGTTAAAATACAAATGTAGGATAAAAATTTTTTTTATTCATATGGTATCATCTTAAGATTAAAAAATTGCAAAATAAAATTATAATACATCAATAAATAAAAAGCACAAAATAGTTAACATAAAAAGTACATTACACAAATTATTTAGCATAAAAAATACATTTATTAATACACATTATACAAATACATTTACTAATACATTTACTAATTTTCATGTGTGTTGTAATTTTTAATTTTTCATCTTGTGTGTTGTAATTTTTAATTTTTCATCTTGTGAATTGTAATTTTTAATTTTATTTGTGTGGTGAAATTTCAATTTTTAATGAATATTTATTTCTCCGATTTTATTATGTATAATTAATTTTAATAACATAAAGTCCAAATTGAATTTAAAATAATAGTGTGGTTTAATTTGTAAAGTTGTAAAATATGTGGGTAGTATTGAAAAGTTATAAAAGTTGGTGTAAAAGAGAATATTCTGAGAATATTCTTTTGGGTTTGAGAATGAGTTTTTCGGTTGGAGATGAATTACTGCAAAATTGGATAGTTACTGCAAAATGGGTTTGAGTTTGAGTTTTTCGGTTGGAGATGGCCTTAGTATTCCTTTCTATGATCTAATCCATAAATTCCGTATCTAATCGACTCAACTATTACATTTCGTTATCTATTATCCGCTAATACAATCAGCTTTTGGTTACCCGTTATGAGCTAATTAGAGCATGTTTGTTTATAGAAATTTTCAAAAAATTTCCCACATTTTAACTCAACCACTTTTTTAACTCAACTTTAACTCAACCCCACTACCATCAATATTATCAATATAATTAAATAATATCAATCAATCATTCATACACACCACATCAACCTTAATTCACTATTCAACCACTCACATTATTTTAACTAACCATCACATCAAACTATCTCTCTCATACTTTTATATCAAATCATTTTAATTATTTTATTTTAAATATTATTTTAATATACCCACCAACAACTAACCATACCATCTTTTTCAAAATTAACCAAACCAAATCAAAAAATCCAAACAAATCAAAAATTTCTATAAACAAACATGCTCTTAATAGCTATAGTGGACAAAAAATTGCATTTGTAGTATATTATACGAAGAAAAAAAAAAGTAACTAATGATAGTAAACAAATGATTATTAAAAAACTAATATCTAAAAAAGTCTAAAACTATCAGTTTTTTTTTTTTTTT